TTTTTCCCTTAAAGCCAACTTTGAAATCTTTATTGAAATCTTGGTCAGACCTGTATCGAGTTTTTGCTCGTTGTGCTGCTCTGGTTGCAACAGCTGAAGAAAATCTTTGCTGTGAAGAATTTTGTGCCAAAATAATATCTGGGCTAGAAGGTGAAACTTCAGTAGTGAGTATAAAATATAAAATTTAGCAAATTTCTTGAAAATTGGATTTAAGAACGTGTTGTAAGTTCTGATTTCTAGAGGGTGGAGTGGTTTGGGGGAAGATTTAAAATTTTAAGAATTTTTTTTGCTGGCGGGAGTTGGTAGAGAAATGAAAGAAAGGAGTAAAAAGAATTTTAAAGTTTCCATATTTAACGAGTTAAGGAGATTTTTAAGATTGGTTTTCTAATTAATAATAATGGTTAATGAGTGGTGTGGTGGTAAACCACAAAGCTCATTGCAATTAGGAAAGAGGAACGTGGAACCATCAGCCTTGTACACTAAAATATGAGGATTTTATTCCTAAAGCTGAATAAAAAAAACCAATATTTTTGATACCTAAATTATCTTCCCAAACTCACACCACAAGGGGATGGGGATGAACTTTTAGTTTGGGATATAAAACTTTGCATGCTTAAAGTTCACTTTGGAAAAAAAAATCCTGTGAAAGAAACAAAAAAAAAATGGAATTTAAAAAAGCTGAAATTTAGAGGATCCCATCATTGGATGCTGCTGTATCCTGATAATAAATACCATTTTCAAAAATCACTAATTACTAAATCAAATTTAATTGAAAAATTCAGTGTGAAGTTACATTCAAACTTCTTTTTGCTCACAATCTCACTTTTCCTTTTAAAACAAGTTTGGCCTCATTTAGAAGAAATTGGATGGATTGAGAGGGGAAAAAAATAAAATTTACTTCTCTTTTTCTATGCACTGAGAATTATTCGTGTTCTGCTGTTAATAACTTAATTATTGTGCCTGTAATGACTTTTCTGACAACCAGGCTTTGTCCTTGAACTTTCATTTTCTTGATTTCTCCTAAATGTTTTTTTATATCTTAATTATTGGAATGAGCAGCTGATCCTCAATGGAAATGTGGATTTAAAATGAAATTTTATTCCTCTGACCTGATCATGCAGAACAATTTCACTCACCTGTCATTAAAAATTGGGTTTTTTGCTGTCCTGAACACCCAACCTGTTTTGTTTTTTTTTTAATGTTTGCTCCTTTGAGGATTGAATTTTTTTGGTTTTGCTGGTTGATTTTTTTTTTTTTGGTTTTTGCTGGTTCATTTTTTGTTTCTGTTGGTTGATTTTTTTTTTTCCTAGTTGATTTTTTCTGATTTTTTTTTTTTTTTTCTAGTTGATTTTTTGGTTTTGCTGGTTGATTTTTTTTTTTGTTAGTTTGTTCCTACTGGTTGATTTTTTATTTTTTCTGGTTGATTTTTTGCTGGTTCATTATTTTGTGTTGTTTTTGCTGGTTGATTTTTGTTTCTGCTGATTGATTTTTGGTTTTGCTGCTTGATTTTTTTCTTTTTACTGGTTCATTTTTTTCTTTTTTCTGGTTCATTTTTTGGTTTCTTTTTTCTGAATGATTTTTTTGTTTTTTCTGGTTCATTTTTTCATTTCTTCTTTCTGGTTCAATTTTTTCTTCCTTTTTTCTGGCTCATTTTTTTCTTCCTTTTTTCTGGTTCCATTTTTTCATTTCTTCTTTCTGGTTCATTTTTTTTCTTTCTTTTTTCTCGTTCATTTTTTTCTTCTTTCTGGCTCATATTTTTCTTTCTTTTTTCTGGCTCATTTTTTTCTTTCTTTTTCCTGATTCATTTTTTAATTTCTCTGTCCCCAGGAGCTGTCCATGCTGGAAGGTCTCACCCACCTCGTGTCAGTCATGGTCGATTGCATCAACTTTGCCCCCTATGGCACCAAATTCCAGCCCAAAAATCGATGTAAGAAATAATTAAATTTGGGGATTTCTGGGTGTGCCTTCAAGAATTGCTTCAAAATTAGAGTTTAACCTAAGACAAAGGTTCATTTTGTACAAAATATTCTTTGTTTTGTTTCCTATTCCCTGCTGAAGTTGAAGAAGTAAATTTTCAAAAAAGCATAATTGAGTAAAAAAGTATTTCTCATTTCTCTGCCCCATGGGAATTTGTTCAAGTAGTAAAATGCTGGTTTTTTTTTTTTTTTTTTTTGGTTAAAATAGTAAAATGCTGATTTATGCTCAAGTTGTTAAATCAAATTTTAAACTGTTTCTATTTAAATCTAGTTTGGATTCAACTGTTTCTCTATAAATCTAGTTTGGGAATCCAAGTTCTCTCCCATATTCTCAACATTCAACTGCCTTTTGTCGTTAAACGCTTTAATGAATGAAAAAATCCAATTTTTAAATCAAATTATGCATTAAAAATATGCTCAAGTTGTTAAATGAAATTTTAAACTGTATTTATATAAATCTAGTTTGGATTAAACTGTTTCTCTATAAATCTAGTTTGGGAATCCAAGTTCTGTCTCTCCCATAGCCTCAAGGTTCAGCTGCCTTGTTAACGTTAAGTGCGTTAATGAATGAAAAAATCAAATTTTTAATAAAATTATGCATCAAAAATATGTTCAGGTTGTTAAATCAAATTTTAAACTGTTTATATTTAAATCTAATTTGAATTAAACTGTTACTATATAAATCTAGTTTGGGAATCCAAGTTCTGTCTCTGCTGTAGCCTCAACGTTCAACTCCCTTTTGTCGTTAAACGCTTTAATGAATGCAAAAAAAATCCAATTTTTAATCCAATTTTTACTCCAAATTTTAATCCAATTTTTCAATCCAATTCTCCACCCACCAGCTCCCCAGACACCCACGGAATGGGCAAAGAAAAAAAAGGAACCTCTTGGCAAACTCTGCTCTCTCTTCAAACTTCTGCTGCTTCTCCTGAATTCTTTCCACGAGCTTTGTTCCAAGGACGAGCCCTGGGAATGTTTGGTGGCCATTGGGGTGTCCCTGGTGGCCACCCTGCACAGCATCAGCAGCCACGTGTCCCTGCCTTCCCTGCTCGCTGCCACTTTGGATTTTTTTGCCAAACCTTTGGTTGTGTTTTACGAAAAGAATAAGTGAGTGTTTGGGGGGGGGGAAGGAATGATGGAAGAGAGGGGAGTATTGTGGGGGGAAAATGAAAAAAAAAAATTAAGTGGTTTTTATGGGAAAAAAAATTTAAAAATGAGTGGGGTTTATGGGGAGAAAATTGAAAAAATAAGTGAGGTTTTTTGGGGGGAAAATAAAAAAAATAAGTGGGTTTTATGGGGAGAAAATAACAAAAATAAGTGGGTTTTATGGGGAAAAATAAAAAAAAAAAGTGGGTTTTATGGGGAAAAATAAAAAAAAAATAAGTGGGTTTTATGGGGAAAAAATAAAAAATAAGTGGGTTTTATGGGGAAAAAATAAAAAAATAAGCAGGTTTTATGGGAAAAAATAAAAAAAAAAATAAGTGAGTTTTTTGGGAAAAAATAAGTGGGTTTTATGGGGAGAAAATAAAAAAAAATAAGTGGGTTTTGTGGGGAAAAATAAAAAAAATAAGTGGGTTTTATGGGGAGAAAATAAAAAAAATAAGTGGGTTTTATGGGAAAAAAAAAGTGATTTTAATGCGGAAAAAATAAAAAAAACAAGTGGGTTTTATGGGGAAAAAATAAAGAAAATAAGTGGGTTTTATGGGGAGAAAATTAAAAAAATAAGTGAGGTTTTTTTGGGGAAAAATTTTTAAAAAGTGAGTTTTTTGGGGAAAAAATAACAAAAATAAGTGAATTTTTGGGGGAAAAATAAGTGGGGTTTATGGAAAAAATAAACAAAATAAGTGGGTTTTATGGGGAGAAAATAACAAAAATAAGTGAGTTTTATGAAAAAAAAAAACCAAGTGAGTTTTATGAAAAAAAAATGTTTTAAAAGAGTGAGTTTTATGGAAAAAAAACCAAAAACAAAGCAAGTGAGTTTTATGGAAAAAATGCAAATATTTCAGCTTTTTAATGCAAATATTTATGGGGCCTTGGAAATGTGTTGAAGGAGAGCATTAAGAATGCCATTAGAAGTTAATTAATAAGAAAAACTTTAATTTGAAGTTTCTACTAATTTCTCTTAAACTCAGCATATCAGTATCCATGGAATTTAAAATAATCTGAGAAATTCCCATCAGGAAATTCTTTAATCCCCAACTGAGGCTGAATTATCATAAAATAATTCCATTAAATTGCTCTCTACAAAATAAAATTTACAGTGCTGGAATTTTTTTTGTTCTGTTCAATTTTTTATACTTGGAGATAAATGAAGCAGCAAAATAGAAATAAATTGAAATTTTTTTTTTTTTTTTTTTTTT